ATGGAAATTTGTGCTGTGAGGAGAATTAGCTGTTTAGACTCAACCTAGAATTCACTTAAAGTGAGTTAAAAATGATGAGAGTTTTGCTTGAGGAGTCAACATAAAAATACATTGTCATGACCATTTTTTCTTTAACTTTTCATTTTGACATTACTTCAGACTGAGCTTCTGGATGACTAAAGCACAGCCTAGGCCACCGACTGTAGGCTGAGCCAAGTCCACACTGATGGGAGGGCCTCAAGGTCCCTAGTCCGATCTCTTCAAAAATCTTAGCTAGGATGAGAACTGTGGGCGTGAAAAGTGATTGCACATGTTGGGGAGACTCAGGGACCCCGAGGGCTGGAAATGGGGTCAGTGCAGCTGAGTAGGTGAGGGGCAGAAGGTGTCCTTCTGGTCAGGTGGTGCATCCGCGTCAGTCTTAGAGCCATTTGATAGGAGTCTCTGAGCACTGAGACTCCGTCCTAGTCTGCTAGGCGGCTGCTTCTGGAGTTCCTGGTTATCTTGCTCCATGGGGCCATGTCCATGCGGTAAAGTAGTGGGCAGTAGGTAAGGTTATAAAGTGTAAAGGGAATCAGTGTAGTGTTGCCAGGTTGCAGCTGTTGGCAACATGCTGCCACCTGCCCCACGTGAACAGTGATGATGGCTTGGGTTGTTTTTTGAAGGTGTGTTTGTTTAGACACCACCAGTCCTGGAGGCTACTGCGCAGATCACTGGTGATGGGCAGAGTGGGATGGGGGACAGTGAATTCAGGTGTCAGAGTGGAGCACCCTGGATGGTGGAGTCTGTGCACAAGCCGGGAGGAGGCCGTGCATGCAGCCCCTCCTCATGCACTCACCAGCTCTGGGGCAAGGGGCCCCCAGAGGGCGGGCCCAGAGCCCTCCGAGGGCATGGGCTGCAGGAGACGGGGGGATCTGGTTGGTAGTGGGCCTGTGGAGCGGGCTCAGGAGGCATGAGCTCAGGGCTGCTCCCAGAGCCCTCTCTCGCTTCCACAGGCATTTCACAGCTGAGCTTGCGGTGGCCATGGGATGCAGGTTCCCTTGGCGTGTCCCAGAACATGTGCTTTCATGCTTCCTTTCCTCCTCTGCAGGTCAAGCGCTCCAGGAGCAAAGGGGGGCTGGCCGGCCCTGACGGCACCAAGTCCGTTTTTGGGCAGATGTGTGCCAAGATGAGCTCGTTCAATCCCGACAGCCTCCTCCTTCCTCACCGTGTCTGGAAAGTCAAGTTTGTGGGTGAGAAACTTCACGTGCTGGGGAACCTGTGGCCCCGAGAGGTGGTGGCCCGCGCCTGCAGGGGGCGCAGGCAGAGCGGTGCAGGGGCTGTCAGGGTGGCTGCGAGCGAGCGGCTGCTGCTCCTTCCCCTCCAGGTGAATCCGTGGATGACTGCGGTGGCGGCTACAGCGAGTCCATAGCTGAGATCTGTGAAGAGCTGCAGAACGGACTCACACCCCTGCTGATTGTGACACCCAATGGGAGGGATGAGTCCGGGGCCAACCGAGACTGCTACCTGTTCAACCCGGCCGCCCGGGCGCCCGTGCACAGCAGCATGTTCCGCTTCCTGGGTGAGATTTCCCTTCCCGCCGCCCGCCATCCTGCGTTGGCGAGGCTTGTGCCCGCCCTTCTGTTAGCTTGATGTCTGCTGTGTTTGGGGAGTGACAGTAGATGTTTTGAACATCTGCTTTTAGCTTTTGAGGCTCACACCAATCAAAGTTACTTCTAGTGTGTGTGTGTCACTGGTGCTGTGGAGGTGCACAGGGTGCTGTCGTTGACTCCTCTGTCCGGCACTGAGGGCTCGGCAGTGGTGGCCCATCCAAGCATAGCCACAGCAACTTACAGAGCCGGCAGTCCTGGCCACGTGCTGAGGACCGGAAGATGCCTTTGACACTCAGAGGGTGAAATGCCATGTTTCTGCATTTAAAATGTATCTGAAACTCAGGATCAGATGGGGGAGGGTCTTGGCAGGCAGCCAGTCCCTCCGCCCTGCTCCATTAGGGGTCTGTGGAGCACTCCCAGCTAGGGTCCTGCCACTGCCTGCCCTTCCCAGGGGGCTGCTCCCTGGCAGGGCACCCCCTTGGAGAAGCTCCAGCTCTTTGCTCTGCCATGAGAGGAAGAAGAATTGGCCTCTATGTCCTTAAACCTGTGTGTGTGGCAAAATATGAAGAGTTAGAGTCTTAGAGAACAAAAAGAAATGATGAATTTAGAACAGGACACACTGTTTTAAGGATGGACCTAGATCTCTGGACTTATATTGTTGGTTTAGAGGGCACTGTGGCCTCAGCATAGAGTTAATGCCCTGTGGCATGTGAGTGAACTAGTTTTGTCATCAAATCCAAGTGTCTTCTGTGCTTGTGTTTTGAATGGTCAGGTGTGTTACTGGGCATTGCCATCCGGACCGGGAGTCCCCTGAGCCTCAGCCTGGCTGAGCCCGTGTGGAAGCAGCTGGCTGGGATGAGCCTCACGATCGCAGACCTCAGTGAGGTAACTCGCCCTGGGCGCTGTGGGGTCCCCTGGGGCTTGAGAGGAACAGTCTGTTCCGGGTTCTGGCAGGCTCTGAGGTCCTACCTGACTCACGGTCCCACGTGATGCAGGGGCTGCTGGCTGTGGATACCTATGAGTAGAAAAGAAGGTCTGCGGGTATGAGGCCAATTTGCTTCTGGAACTTGGTAGATCCATTTATTTTTGTGTTGCTTTGCGACTTACACATTCTTGTCAAGCGAGAAAGCTGGCAGGGGGAGGTGCTGAGCCAGTGACCACAGCTGATTCCCTGCATGCTGTGGCTGTGGAGAGGAACTGTCCCTGGCCAGTTGCTTTACTTTCTCAGTGGTTAGGAACTTGGTTGAATGCATGAATTCATGCTTCAGCTCCTTGGGTGAAGTACTTTCTTATTGCTGCTTTCTTTATTTCTCAGTACCTGTGACACACAGCCTCCCCACGCACCCTGAGGCAGACCAAGGCCCCTACTGGACTGAGTGTGCTTGGGGTGGGCTGGGGCCTGCGACAGGGGAATAGCCCTGATTCAACACGTGGACTCTTTTTCTCCTTAAAAGGTTGATAAAGATTTTATTCCTGGGCTCATGTACATCCGTGACAACGAAGCCACCTCGGAGGAGTTTGAGGCTATGAGCCTGCCCTTCACGGTGCCGAGCGCCAGCGGCCAGGACATCCAGCTGAGCTCCAAGTACACACACATCACCCTGGACAACCGTGCGGAGTATGTTCGGCTAGCGATAAACTACAGGTTCGTGGTCATCTGCTCTCAGTTGCTTTGACTTGATAAATAGCAAAAGTAGCAGAAAAAGTTGGTTCGATATCTGTGTTGGTTCAGAACTATCATATACAGTAAATGCTGAGGGATTTGGCTCCAACTATTGCTGATCTGTGGTTATTAAGCTTACTTTGTGATAAGGGTTAGAGTATTTATTATTCTAGTCTGAGATTCCTGGCTCTAATTAGAATACTGAGATAAATAAAATCTACCCATTTAGGGGACTGCCCCATAGAGGCCACAGGGGCCTGTTTGTGCCCCTCTGTGCTTTCTCTATCAGCTCTCCTGGGACAGGGGTGTGTCAAGTGCATGACACAGAGCCTTTGCCAGGTCTGCATTGTGTGCAGGCCCTCAGGTGCTGTGGCTTGGGCGTGGCAGGTCAGCACCCCACAATCCTCCCCAGCTTCCACTGCTTGTCCCTGCTGTTGGCCCGGTACCCCGGGTCCTCTAGAAGCACCTGTGAGGTGTCTGGACGGGCCCTGCACATCAGGTGGGCTTTGCTTGCTGGGCTGTGGTTGGGGGTGGTCCCAGCAGGTATCCTGGGCTGTGCCACCCCCTAACCCTGAGTCCTGTCTACCCTGGACCCCGACTCTGCACTGATTCAGCAGCTGTCCCAGGCAGATGAGTGTGCTCTTTACCCTCTTTGATTCTGGAGAATTGTCTCAGAGAGTGTGTAGCTGCAGTTAGCCACGAGGCTGCAGTCTGTCTGTAGTCTAGGTGGACTCCGTGTTGTGAGGGGCGCTGCACTAGCAGGGCTGCGGGGCACCCTCCTCCGCTGTCAGAAGTCGCTCCTCTCAGTCCTGGCAGGTGGCAAGAGTGTGGCCGCAGTGCCCTGTGGCCAGGCTTGGTACTAGCAGAACAAAGTCAGTGCCTCCTGAGATGGAAGTGTGAAGTGAGTTTTTTCTTTCAGACTCCATGAATTTGATGAGCAGGTGGCTGCTGTTCGGGAAGGGATGGCCCGAGTCGTGCCCGTCCCCCTTCTTTCTCTGTTCACTGGATACGAATTGGAGACGATGGTATGCTGACTCCCGAGTTGTGCTGCCCTGGAACTGCCACTAGTTAACTTTTTATTAATAGTTAAAACCTTGCATTTGGAAATCTAAGATGTGTCCATGAGTGTTGAGGTAAAAACACACTCTAAATATGTGACCCCTTCACCTGATCCTACGGGAGGTTGGGGCTCAGGGTTTCGTGCATGTCCACCCGGGGCCCCCAGGACTTTCCCTGCCCCCAAACAGGCCTTGGTAGAGAGAAGGAGTGATCGAATCTTGCTGAAATGAAAGGCATCAAAGTGTCAGGTGGCCCTGACAGAGTGTCCTTTCGCAGGTGTGCGGCAGCCCTGACATCCCTCTGCATCTTCTAAAGTCGGTGGCGACATATAAGGGGATCGAGCCTTCCGCATCCCTGATCCAGTGGTTCTGGGAGGTGATGGAGTCCTTCTCCAACACAGAGCGCTCCCTCTTTCTTCGCTTTGTGTGGGGCCGGACGAGGCTGCCCAGGACAATTGCTGACTTCCGGGGCAGAGACTTTGTCATCCAGGTAGGTTCCCTGCTGGGCTCACTGGGCCCTGGGCTGTCAACTAATGCTGACATGCTTCTTGCACATGATCTTGCAGCAGATTGAAATGTGGGTCTCTTGTATCTTCATGGAAATGAAAATCGAAAACACCCAACTTCTGTGATTTGAAGGCTGAAAATTCTGTGATTATAGGTCTTGGGTACCATTACCTATTCTTTTTTTTTTTT